GCATCTAATGAGAGAATTCTCTTGTGCTCGGGGTGTTCTTGCACGAATCAGTGGCATCAATTACTATTCACCGTGGTCAACGTCTTCTTTCTGATGACCCATCGATTTCCTGTCCGGGACTTGGTCATGTCGGCCTGATGAAGATCATATCCATCATCTGCATAGTTCATCTCACCTCATGCTCGCTACATACACTATCTGGCTCTCCGACGGTGTGCGATGCAATGTTACCCTGTTAGTTCCCATTGCACTCTCTGGATCACTCTCCGGGATGTCTCCGTCCTTGTCTCGCGGTGGTGACTGGGAGATCCGGAGGCATGAAAATGGCGCAAGAGCAGAAGAACATGAACGGAACACGAAGAGGGAAAGGTTATAAATACCTATCTGTCCTCCAGAAATCAGTCTTCATCAGACCATTCAGTCCAACATCTCCCAGCCTGATCCGGTATCCAGAGTCTCCTCGGTGTCTTCGCCATGCTTTCTATCAAACGCACTTTGCTGCTCCTTGGAGCTGTCCTGCCAGCCGTGTTTGGCGCGCCTGTCCAGGAAACTCGTCGTTCTGCTCAGAAGATTCCTGGCAAGTACATCGTGACCTTCAAGCCGGGCACCGATGCAGCTACCATTGAGTCTCACACTCTTTGGGCCACGGATCTCCACAAACGCAATCTGGAGCGTCGTGATGCCACCAGCGGCGATGCTCCCGTCGGTATTGAGAAGAACTACAAGATCAAGGATTTCGCGGCCTACGCCGGCTCCTTCGATACTGCTACCATCGAGGAAATCCGCAAGAGCGCAGATGTCAGTCCTCTTCAGAACCCTACCACATCATGAGCTCAGTGACTTACAAGCCCACAGGTTGCCCATGTCGAGGAGGACCAAGTCTGGCACATTAACGCCCTAACGACTCAAAAGGGCGCCCCCTGGGGTCTTGGCAGCATTTCCCACAAGGGTCAAGCAAGCACCGACTACATCTACGACACCAGCGCTGGCGCTGGCACCTATGCCTACGTTGTCGACACTGGCATCAATGTCAACCACGTCGAGTTCGGTGGCCGCGCGTCCCTGGCATACAACGCCGCTGGTGGCAACCATGTCGACAGCGTCGGCCACGGAACGCACGTTGCTGGTACCATTGGCGGCTCGACCTACGGAGTGGCCAAGAAGACCAACCTTCTGTCCGTCAAGGTCTTCCAGGGCGAGTCCTCCAGCACCTCGATCATCCTTGACGGTTTCAACTGGGCTGTCAACGACATTGTGAGCAAGGGTCGTACTAAGAAGGCCGCAATCAACATGAGTCTTGGTAAGAGCACCCCGTCTTGCTCGTTCGACTGGATTGAAGGTAACGGCTGCTGATGGATAATGACAGGCGGTGGCTACTCTTATGCCTTCAACGACGCTGTCGAGAACGCCTTCCAAGAAGGTGTCCTTTCTGTGGTCGCTGCTGGAAACGAGAACGTATGTGAACCGTCTTCGAAAACTTACATATGAACATTGCTAGTTTTAGTGCGACTAACATATCGTGTCAGAGTGATGCTTCGGAGACAAGCCCTGCCTCCGCTCCTAACGCTCTGACTGTTGCTGCGATCAGCAAGAATAATGCCCGCGCCTCCTTCTCCAACTATGGTTCCGTCGTCGACATCTTCGCTCCCGGTCAGAATATCCTTTCCGCCTGGATTGGCTCTAACACTGCCACCAACACTATCTCTGGTACTTCCATGGCCACCCCCCATATTGTTGGCCTGTCCGTCTACTTGATGGGTCTCGAGAACCTCTCTGGTCCTGCTGCTGTGACCTCTCGTATCAAGCAGCTGGCCACCAATGGTGTTGTCACCGATGCTAAGGGTAGTCCTAACAAGCTTGCTTACAATGGCAATGCTTAAGCTTATGCCGAAGGGCCGATAGGTTACAGAGACTGCGCAGGGCGAGTCTTAACCGAGGGATGATTGGGAGGGCTAAAGGAGTGCGGAGGATGTCCTCCGCAGGTTGATGAATCTATGAATCCTAAGTTATATAACAAAGCAATGGAATGATTTGAGTGATTTGATACTCCACCCTGTAAGCAGATAATTTTTTTCCTCGGCTTGATCTAACAATATGTGATGGGACGCAGGGAAATAACACTTCAACTATGTCCGCTAAAGTTCATTAATCACCACCCACGCCTCCAAGGTTTTTTCACTCCAGATGACGCTCACATCCTCGTACATTACGCCTCAAGGATACGAGCGGAAGATTGGCGATGACGAACAGTGTGACGAACACGCCAAGGAAATGGGCAGAGCATATCCATCCGCGAGGAATGTTGATCGTGATGAACCTTCCGACTTTCCAAATGAAGCATGCTCATGGCCCACACGGACACGACGAGAGCTGGGTATTCTTGCTCAGGGCCCAATGAACAGCTCGATATCAATAGGCTATGGAATGCACATTGAGGGAGCGCTTACCTCATGAGAAACGTGTCGCATACCTCCCTAGAAGCCTGCTCTGAAGATAGCAACAGCTCCTACATCGTATCCCTGGCTCCGGTGCTCTGAAGCCCTTCAAAATGTCTCTAGCTCTCATGGATGTATCTCGTTCACGAGATCCTTTGCACCTGAATCTCAAATTGGGCATCCCTATGACCTGAACCCTTCCTGATGCAGACCACAATCGCAATCTCCGAGGAGAAGCTGAGCCCGCTGAGCAACCCGGACTCGCTGCACATCCATCTTGCCCAATATGGGCTAAAAATGACCACCGATGAGCTTTATGTGCAATGGGCAATAGGCAACCGTCGACATCCTCGTAACTGGGATGTCTCTCGGAAGGTTTATGATATCAGCCTCATCTTCTTCCTTGAGTTTTTCACGTAAGTGCCTGTCTGTCTGGGACGACGTTATCTGCGCTAATTTGAAGAGCGTATCAGAACAGCTGTTAGCACTTCTGGTGTATGTTCCTTCATGTCGTATGAACTTATCCAGCAGACCGTCGACTTATTCGATCATCTAACTAGTCAACCGCCGCCGGAGCTGCAGCTGCAGAATATGACTTGGAGAAGACAAGATCCATCTTCATATTTGTATCAGTGTTCGTTACCTGTCTCGCCTTCTGAGCTATTCCAAGCCATCTGTGAGAGTGGATGTGCTTGCGGGTGCCATTATTGACGTGCAATAGGTATCTTCTCGGGCAAGCATTCGGGGGTATCCTCTTCCCGCCCTACTCTGAAGTTTTCGGACGCAAGAGGCTCTACATCGTCAGCACTGCGTTGTACAGCGTCAGCTGTCTCGTCGTAGCCGCCGTTCCTTCACTTTGGGGTGTGGTTGTGGGCCGCTTCGTCAGTGGGTTTTTATCGGCGATTCCCACCATTGTGGTAATAGGCAGTATAGAGGATATGTTCAACGCTCGCGACCGTGTTTGGATGGTATGTATCTGGGCCGTAACAAGCAACTTGGGTCTCATCGTGGGGCCAATTTTGAGCATCTACATAGTTGCAGATCTGGACTGGTAAGCGTTGCTTGACGTTTGATGGCCCGGAAAAGCTGCTGACGGATTGACTTCTAAAGGCATTGGCTATATTACATTGCAGCCATTATAACAGGTCTCCTTACCTTCGTCCTTCTCACCATCCGAGAATCCCGCCCATCGCTTTTGCTGGCAAGAGAAGTTGCGCAGCTCCGCAAGGTGTCAAAGGTTGAGTCGCTGGAAGGAGCGAACCCAGACCATACACCGGATCTGCACAGCTTTGTGCGGCTTGCCCTATCTCGGCCTGTACTTCTTTTCTTCACCGAACCTATCGTGTTCATAGTGTCTTTGATAAGCGCAATCTCAATTGCACTAGTTTATCTTTTCACGGAAGCATTGCCTCCCATCTATCAAGCCTTTGGTTTCAGCCCCCGACAGGCCAGTTTACCCTTCATCGCTATCGGTGTTGGGCTTAGCCTTGGCTTGCTGACTCGCTACATTGACCTGTACATCATCGACCAGCACCGGCATCAGGGCCGCGTCCTCCTTCCCGAGCACAAGCTGCTTGGTCTGTGGCTGGGAGCACCTATCCTCGCAGGCGGGCTATGGGTCTTCGCCTGGACCATTCCCCCCGGCGTGAAAGATTTGCATTGGAGCGTATCCGTGATTGCGCTGTTGCTGGTCGGATACTCGCTGACCGAGTTAGACTATGTCCTTGGGGGCTATCTCACGGACAGCTATTTAAGCTACGCATCGAGCGGGTTCTCTGCACTCAGCTTCCTCCGATCGATCCTATCGGCTGTCTTTCCGTTAGTCTCGCCCCATCTGTTCTCGGCTCTAGGGGCCAATCTTGCTGTGACCGTGCTGGCGGCCATGGCAACCATCTTCTGCATTGTTCCGCCCTTGTTTACGCGGTATGGTGAGAGGCTTCGGGCTCGGAGTGCGTTCGCCAAGCAGAGTTTGACCATGTATCGTCAGTATAGTGTTGACGAGAATGGATATTGACGTGTCGAGTCTTGAGGAGCGTCGCTATTGGACGCCATTCAGCGAAATCGAGCACTGGACCTCAAGGCGGCAGGAGGAGCCTGACATAGGTCAAACAAAGATTGCCTGGGGGTTCTTGATATGACACAAATAACGTGGAGTTGTCCTGTTGATATGAACTGTCAATTGTAGAGCTTGACTAGTTTGCTGGTCGGTTTCCCTGTCACAATATCCGATAGTTGCTTTTTCTTTTTTTGAGCTGTTTGATTTCACCGTGACAACAGATTCGGTAGAGTCCCACAAAGGGGAAGTGGAATCAAAGCCATTGCGCAGCTTTTGGGGGAGGTATGTATAAATGTAGATTCATCCTCTGTGGGATATCTTTAGCAACTTTGCAACAATATGATTCTCCGCCATATTACCACCATCCAGACTAGACTAGTATCAGCTCTCCACATCAACACGCCGCTTCAACTTCCCCACCAATTCCCCTTCCGCTCCCCCAAAAGCAGCACTCGACATGATCCAGACTCGCTGATCCCGCCTTTGTGCTTTGATGTTCCGCTCGAGAAATGGACGGCCCGGATCTTCAGCGATTCCGCGTCGACTCTCACACTTCTGATGGACAGCCCCAGTCGCTGTCGTCCCTCGCAGACGACGCGTCCGCTTTAGCTGCAACCCAACAGCAGCATCACCAGTCACATACACCAGCGCTTGCAGATCCTCAGGACGCGCAGTCGCTTCAGCCTCTACAGTCTGCGCTTGAACACTCGAACCTCCATCTCCATCATCCGCAGGAGCAGCGGCACCATCACAATGCGGTTCACCCGCTCAATACACTGGCGTCTATGCGGCCGTCGCGGCCTGGCGAGTCGGTTAATACCGAGCTGATATCTCCTCAGCAGTTTGAAGAGAAGCTGCATACCTACCACCACACATCCCGAGACCAGGCGTTCCCGGGTTCCCTTTCGGATGATCAGCGGATGCAATCCTGTTTAGCTCACGGCGGCGATCACGATGCACACCACGCGCAGGTCCTGTCGCAAGCACGTTCAGATCTTGCGGATACCGCCGTTGCGTGTAATGGTAATGGCGCCGACGATGACGCGCATCTGCGCAACACCGGCTTGCAAGTATCGCCATCCTTTCCGCATCATTTGCAGCTACAGCCGCAAAGCGACGACTACTCTGTAGCCCCGGAGCTCTCGAAACAGGACGGTGGTCTGAAAGACATGAAACTGGTCCCTGACCCTCCCGACCTTGAATACTGGAGGGAAAAGCTATTCAACGTGGACGAGACGATCACCTTGACTGAAGACCAGTACGTTCTACGCAGTCCCCTCCATACGAATTGAATCCCAAACGCACTTATCTAACCACTTGCCCTGCAACTAGATTCCGAACCTACTTCCCCCACGTCGACAACGTCTACTCCCACCGCTCCACACAACGCTACAAGCGCAAGCCCTTCGTCTCCCACTACTGGGACTGCAGACTCAAAGGCCGCCCGCCCGGAACCCCCAAATCCGACGATCCGAACAAGAAGAAGCGGAAACGCACCGCCCGACAAAGAGACCTCTGCGACGTCAAGATCAAAATCACCGAATACTTTCCCGGGTACGGTGTGGCTGCTGTGTCGGACTTTGCCGCGACCGGACCCGAGACTACCTTTCCTTCCTCGGAGTTTCTGCCCAGCGTGAACTCGTTGTTCCATGAGTCGGCCTTGGGACAGAGGAGGGACAGTCAGCCGTTCGGCGTGCTCACGCCGAATCCGACCTTACCTGAGGGTCATCCCGGGGCGAATGGAGAGAGATTCTTTACGATCCAGCGGGTCAATGGCAATGGTGCGAATGGGAAGAATGACGGGGTGGGCGGAGGCCATCGGCATACGTTGGAAGAGAGCGACCGGGTCAAGAAAAATAGTGTTCAGCGGTATTTGCTGAAAGAGGCCAAGGAGAAGAAGAAGGCAGTCACAGTAAGTGTGCGATCTTTCTTTTTACTACGTTGGTTTTCAAGTTTGCGCTGTGGTGTGACTGTCATCCTTTGGTGTGTATGTGATTCCGCTATTTACGTCACTGCTGGATGCCGTATTACAGTGACCTCCAGCTTCCCCGCTTGTCGCAGCTGCTACAACTGGGACACATCCGCGAGACGGTTGCTCGATTGAAAAGACTTGCTTCGACTCAAAAAGTATATCTTGAGACTAACCAAATTTTAAAGACTAGAACGATGTCCTCCCAAAATGAAGCCCAGCAAAAAACCTACCACACCAAAGCTACTGGCTTAGCGGCCTTGACCGCTATAAATCATTCCAATGAAGCAGAACTCAAACTGTTCGGAAGTTGCTTCTGGTATGTCTGAGCATCCAGTCTTTCAGCCCGGTGTCAGCTAAAACGTATATTCTAGCCCTTTTGTACAACGCGTTTGGATAGCCTTGGAAATCAAGGGTATCCCATATCAATATATCGAAGTAGATCCATACCAAAAACCTCAATCTCTATTGGAGATGAACCCCAGAGGCCTGGTGCCAGCGTTGCGGCACGGTGATTGGGGATCGTATGAAAGCTCGGTTCTGCTCGAATATGTAGGTTTCAACCCACACTTTCCTTTCCCACGGGGAGGCCGTCATCTCTTAACCAGAATCTGCAGCTCGAAGACTTGGACGTGGGTCTACCCCTTCTGCCGCCGGGCGATGCGAAGTTACGAGCTCACTGTCGGCTCTGGACTGACCATGTAAGTATCATGTGGTCCGACATTAGTTTCCGAGACTAGGTGCTGAATGGCTGCAGATCAATCGTCACATCGTGCCCAGCTTCTACAGGGTTCTCCAGGAACAGGAGGAACAAAAACAGACGGCGAATATGCAGGAGCTCCAAGACGGTCTCAAGACTCTAATCACGGCTGCCAATCCCGAAGGTCCATTTTTCCTGGGACCGAGCATCTCCTTTGTGGATGTCCAGATTGCCCCTTGGATCCTCCGACTAAGCCGGGTGCTCAAACCGTACCGTGGCTGGCCAGACCCCGAGCCTGGAAGCAGGTGGGCCGCATGGGTTAGCGCAATTGAGGCCAATGAGCATGTCAAGGCGACAACTAGCTCTGACGAATTGTATCTTGACAGTTATGAGAGATATGCCCGTGAGTATATCTCCATGCCGTGACTGGCACAAGACTGACATCCCGCAGAAAATCGACCCAACACGTCGCAGGTTGCAAACGCAATCAACTCCGGAAGGGGGCTGCCATGATTTCTTCAGCAAGCCAAGGTAGTTGTGTCACTAAAGACACATCCCGGCGCGAAGGAAACAAGGCCCCGCCCCGGATGGCGCGACGTGCTGTGATCAAGTGGCCCTTGCACCTCTGTAGCCTGCTCTGAAACCACCTCGTCCACCGGCATCTGGGCCTCTAGGACTGCGAATGGGTTGCCGCGGAGATTGTGGCTGGTCATTCAATACCCGCTCGCCAGCTTGCTGTCTCTCCTTCTTCTGCACGTAGGTTGAATTGGGTTTGGAGGAATATGAGGGGTCGAAGAGCTGTTTTGACTTCGTCGAGGATGCAGAAGAGTCTCGCTTATCTCTGTTGTTGTCTCTGCCATTGCCGCGGCTCTTTCCCTTACCTCTGCCCTCAAACTGTCTGGGAGGAGTCGCGCTTCGCGGTGACGATGCACCCGAGGTGGTTGCAGACGGACTTCCAAATAGTCTCTCTCGCACTTCCTCATATTTCCGTTGTTTTTCTTCCAGGTTCTTCAGAGCAATGGCATGCCGTTCTTCTGGAGTCGGTTCTGGCCGGTTCTGGTCGTCATCTGAATCCTCCAGGCTATCATTAGTCGCCAAACCGAGCCGACGGATTCCCGCAGTCGCTGAAGAAACTCCGCTGGACGATGACTGGCGCGTCATCAATTGAGGTGTGCGGCTGAGTACAGTCACCGCTGGTTTGAAATCCTGCTTCAAAGGGACATCGGAACGAGCCTCTAGGTAGTGGAAAGTTTGCGGAGATTCACTATCACATAATCAACACATAAATATTCAATTGAAATTGATAGTAGAGGGTGTATGCACGCACGCTTCGGCCCATAGCTGCCGGTTGAACTCGGCCTGTTGCGCCCTGCGCTGCGCCTTCGTAACTTTCGAGGATACCTTCTTCTCTGGAGGAGGGGTTGGATCATCGGATAGTTTCTGCCGAGGAGAAATTTTCCGGTCAGATGCTTCTTGTGAAGGTGACGAGTGGACGCAAATTGTAGAATGGCTCTGGAGGTAGATAACATCGTGATTGGAGATAGAAGACATACATCTGCCTGTTTTTCCCAGTCATCTTCCCAAGCATCGGGGGAGCCAGCAGTAGGCTTTGCGCTCATATTCACTCGGCCGGAATGGAGTTAAGAACCTGGATTGACTACCACACTAGGGATATAGGCGACAAGTCAAGGTCTAGTGGTGTAGATGGGAGCAAAAAATGGGGAGAGAGACACCAATTCAAATCCAGCCCAATATGTCCATTGATAGCGGTCTTGTTTCGACAGTTGTTGCGTGAGAAAAAAGAAAGTGAGCAAGCAGCGGGGAAAGCCAGCGAAGACGGGAAAATCATTGTTGCTTGATTAGTTAAACTGCGGCGGAGCTCAGGCGTCTCGACTCCGCCGAGAGCTGCATCTATAACCAACGATCACTGTCTGTTTGCCAGCCTCATCTTCGCTTGTCCTGCTTCTGGAAATAGATTAAGATGCCGACTGGTAAGTTCTGGGCTCAGATGCTTTCCCCACCAGCCCTTCACGGCTTACCCTACGCCTCCGCACCCAGTACGTCTAAATAGCTGCATGACTCGCTTTGCTAACGAAGCTCAGATCTGGACGGCGACTCGCAAATGGCTTCATCCCCCGAATCTTCTACCGACTCACCGGCCGGCTCCCGCACGCCTACGAACAACAATAGTCTCAATGACTCCACGCCAGGATTTGCTGGCGCTTCCGAACTATCCCCGCCAGGCTCGCAGACACAGAACTTCTCTGAAGCTACGGAGATGGCCGCACTCGAGAAGAACAGACCCTCAGATTTCTCGACACAGGTTGCTGGACAGCAGCAGCAGCAGAAAAGGCAACCCGGGGCACGGTGGATGAACAAACGGGCAGAGGAGGAGTACCAGCGAGCGATGGAGTATATCGTTGATAAGGACTTTAATCTGGGTAGGTTGAGTAATCAAGCGCTGCTTGCTTACTGTCATCATTCCCCTGGTACTTGTCATTGAGGACTATGGCTAATGGTATGCCTAGATGAGTTCGGTGACCCTTTCGATGACCGAGACATGGAGGAGGCGGTATTCTAGGGTTTGCAGTTGAACCTACGGGCCACTTTATCTGTCTCTTGCTTAATGCAATTTTAGAGACAGTAGTTTACGACCTTATGAGTTATGCTTACCGGGGTATGGCCCAACTAGTGCCTTTTCTTTGTCTTTCGACCATAATGGCTAACCAGTAAGCCAGAATTGAATGATCTTAGCTATGTCGCTTCTCAGAGCACTTTATTGCCATGTTAGACCGATCAACGCTAATTTGGCGTCGAAATCCTTTTAAGTAGCCCCTCTGTTTGAGTGAACGCCATGGTTTGCCAGTGGCGTAGTCAAAGAACGTGCCTAGACTCAGGCTTGACACAGTCGGAAAGGCTCGTTTGGAGATTCGGATGTGAACAGGTAGATAAAGGCAGTGTGTCCTAGTTAATAGCCTCATTCTAGCATTGCGAAAACAATCTCTTCTTGACTTGGTTGCTTTTCAGTGATATATTGTCATATTATGCGAAGCTGAAAGCCGAGCAAGTCGAACAATGACAAGCCTGTTCCTGCCATGGATAAGACGAGTGTAGTGTGCCGTAGCACAGAGCCAAGTAGATGGGACGACGCCTGAATTTCTTCAATCATAACAGTAGTGCTGACTATCCACTTTCTCACCAAGATCAGGGTGTTGGGGGGAAACCGTGCTGTGCTGCTGTCCGACTTGTCGATTGTCTTCCTAGGTTTATCAGGGCATAAGAAGGACCACCTTTTTCTTCTTCACTACACATGAAGTAGAGGATGACCAAGTCGCCCATGGTATGGAACAGAAAGAGATACCCTAGATGATTCAGCGTCTCCAGGTGAGTTGTCCGTATGTATCTCGTAGTTTATATCTGATAAGTGGTTGGCACAGCAACGGTCCGCCCACCGCCAATCAACACGTCCGTCCGGCTTAATTGTTAGGTAGTCTTACCTTTTATTATGATTTCTTTTCATCTTGGCCATGACGCGTATTTGTATTGCTTAGGATAGACGGTTTCTTCTCTATCAGCGTCGCATTTATGCTTCAGTTATTAAGCTTGTATCCTATTATTGCAGTATTCTAGAAGCTTGAACCTCTAGATTGCATTCCCCGTCGACATACAGTTGAGCTCCGTCACGGCGTCGACATTCCTCGGGGCTCCAAGCAGCGATGGCCGCCAGCCATGATCCATCCCTTCAACCGTGCCCTCCGTCGCGAGCATGGTGAGTTGCTTCTTTTGTCCCTTCTGACATCCTTGTGAATTATAATGGGTGCTTTGACCGGGGAAGCGCTGAAGAATTCCCACTGCCCCTTTTTCTTCCCTTTCCATTACTCCCGGAGACTAAGGTACGATCGCTGATACGATCGCGACTGTGTGCGCCAATCGCGCGCGCTTTCGCTGGGTTGAGTTTTCATAGCCAGCTTCAGAATCAGGACGAAAAGTTCAGTTTCACGCCCGTCAAGGCCGCCGCCGCCCCTCGTCTATGGGATCGAAAACCCTCGAACGCGTTCCTTGGGCGTTCGAAGTCGCGCAAAGTCTGGAAGCGCTTTCGTTCCTCTTTTAACAGCATGAAAGCGCTACAACGTCTCGTCGCTGCATCGCACGAGGACGTTGATGAAGATCTCTTCACCGAAATCAACTTGTCCAGGAATCTGGGGTTTGTCCGCGGTGTCAAGCGACGGTGCTTTGGGCTGGAGGATCCTGAGAGTCAATCGGACAGTAGGGTTCTACGAGGACGTTCGTTCCTTGAGACAAAATGGGAGTCTGAAGCGACGGGGAGAAGACGTATGCATGCTCACTTGATGTTTGGTTTAGCCAGGCTTGGCGACTACGAGACACGTGCTGATTGACTATAGGGAAACTGCCAACGAACCCTGCCGACTTTACTGATCTTCAAATGGAGCCGATGAATATGGATGCTGAGGAGGTGGGAGATCACGCTGTGGCTGACAAGGATGAGCCACGGGACGAGGCCACGTCAAGCGCCGAACAGGACACGGACGCATCCTTTGACTCGACCCCAGACACACCCACGGACTCGGATCTTTTATCAGCGAATCTCCGCACGCTACATGGCAAGTCCGTCAGTGCAGATCATTGCGCTGGACACTACGATTTCGAGATAAATGCCACCGGCGAGGTCGCTCAACCTGACTCCGCACTTGACATCAGGGTAGCGAGTCTTCATACCAATATTGCCCCAGATGCAGCCGTGGATACATATATGACGGACGATCGACAAGATCTGTCAGTCTGGGCAGAATCCACAGTCACAGCAGAAGTCACAGCGGAGCAGGGTCTAAGTGTGCAACAAGAGTCCACTCTGGTGCGTTCGGCACTACGCAGCTCGCTGGGAGCGGAGGATGCCGAGTTGCTCAATAACTTCTTGTCCAAGGCCAAGGCAGCTCGCGCCGCCAAAGCCGCAGCTATGACCGTGCAGGATGTGGCCGCAGAACCAGCCTGCCAGGAAGTAAGTGACGTACCAACTCCACAGGCTCGACGGGCTCTGGAAGAGCTGGACGCCAATTCGCCCTCGCCATCGAAAGTCCAGCTGTCTCCAGTCAAAGCGTCTGATCCTGCAGAGGGCCCTGATCGGGATGAACAACCACGAAAAAGCGTTGATGCCCGAGAGGACGAAAATCAAGCCGCCAGCCCGGTTCGTCGAAGTTCGAGGAACCGTGCTGCCAAAGTTCCACCCCAGACCACTACGCCCACTCTTCGTACCCTGAGTCTTCGTCGCGCAAAGGGGACGGAGTTCGTCTTCCTGCAGCGCACAGAAGCCCAGGAGCTTGCGCTGGCGACGCGTCGAAACACTCGGCACAACAAAGGAGATGCGGTCATGCCGAAATACGTGCTTCAGGCCTTGGTGGAACAATCGCAGAACACCAACCTCGATGTCGATGATGGCAAAGCTGCAGACCCTGGTCGGAAGCGCACAGGGGCCAAGAAATATGTGACATGGAACG